AAACACACTAAGTATGTGACCCTCTAACCCTCTAAGTTTCTATTACAATGAAAGTGAGAAACACTCATAGACTAAGAATAGTATCTAGTAACACATCATGGACACCCAAAGTGATAAAAAGAGTCAATGGCTGTGACAACCTTCATATGGTTGATACTTACGTAATTCAATCCCTTCATCACCAATAACTTCATCAAGCAAGATACATGCTATGTATCATCATTCTTGAAACTTGATATATCTTTCTTTGATTCCTTGGACAAATATACTTTTTAAAAGAGCCTTTATTCATGCCATGGCTATGAACTTTGCAAATAGTCTCATCTCAATCAAAGGATCAAAGATATCTTCTGTCATAAACTCAAGAGGGACAAATTTTATCTTGACTTGCCCATTCCTCTCATGCATTTGTGATGCACCCAATAACTGTATTACTTGCAACTCCTCGAAGTGGTTGTTTTTAATAGTATCAAAGTATACAAGTCCTCGCATAGAATAATGACAATCTCAAGTTAAAGAATCACTTATACTTGCATCATAGAAGCTACTAATGATACGTACATGTAGAGTTCTCACAACAGGTCAATCTAGTGCACTCACTTTTAGTTATCTACATGTGATATGTGATTTCATAAGAAGAAATCTTGTCACCTAGCAAAGTGTTACACATAATAGCCTATATCATTGATGTCCTATCTTAATGATATATATGACCATTGAAAAATTTAAGAATATTACTATCGCATCAAACGGTTCTCACTAATAGTGGGGGTTGCTATTATCTTTTGATGCGGTAGACATTCTAGAGACTTTATTAATGTTTAATGTATATGAAAAATAACAATTAATATTCGATAAAAAAATGTCATAAATATAATGAGCATAATTACAAGTATATAAAATCGTCCTGCCAACCCAATTGGCTTGTAGGGCATACTCTAACAATTTACTAATCCAAAGATTAACCAAATATTTCCAATGATTTGTACTATTAATACGTGCAAGTTTATTTCATATACGTTCTTGATATATATCTTCTTTTCATATCAAAGAAGTTATACTTCAACTTATGCCTATAATATCTATATAAATCATCTATATGATCAAGAATAACTTTCCTCCTACCTTTTGGAACCTCAAATTTGAACTTCTCTTGAAAAACATAAGAGAAAAAATAAACAATTTATCGGATCAAATTATGCTAATAAAAATTTCAATCAAACATATAAAACAAATTTCTCTAATTATGACTTGAATCAATACATGTGCAAGCGAGAGAAAAGAAATGGAATCTGAAATTCGTTATATGGAAAACATCAAGTTCATAAATATCAACAATCAAGTTGATAAAAAAAATGTTAACAATTAGGATGCTTACCATCTAAATTTGGAATATATGTTTGACTCACCAAGATAATTCTCCATATATGCTCAAGGGAGTCTTTCTTAATTTGATTCTATTCTTGAACTTGTAAAGGATGGCATATGATCAATTTTGAATAGTTTGACTTGAAAACCAAACAAAAGTTGAGTTATCTCCAATGCACTATGAGGGTCCTCTTGTTTTTCTTTGAACAATATGAGATGAATCCACATAAAAATAAAGGTATTAAGGATAAGTATGGATAATATGAATAAAAATTATTGGATAAAATATAGAAAGATATAATACATAACTTGGTCACATGAATCCACATAACTTGATTCTTCTAAATTTCTTATGCTTTTGAAGGATACACAACAGCAATTCTATCTTGATCATTAAAACTTTACAAAGTTATCACTGATAGTGATGTTATTACAAATTAAGTGTCTTTATGGTTTGGGTGATACAACAATAGATGCCATTCTAGAGTTGTTTAAAAAAACATTACCTAGTGATGACACATTACCAAAGTTATTTCATGTTGCAAGGAAAATAATGAAGGATCTGGGTCTTTACTATGAAAAGATAAATTTCTTATGAGAATGATTGTACGTTGTCCTAGAAAGAGCATGAAAAAGTTGAGCATTGCTTGATTTATGATCAATCTAGGTGGAAAAAGATGAGTTCCAAAAAAATGAAGGATCTAAGCATGAAAATTGTGGCAAGAAGACTCCTAAGAAAGTTTTACATTACTTTTCTTTAAAGAGAGGACTTCAAAGGTTGTTTACGTTAATAAAGACAGCTTTTGACATGAGATGACATCATGATAAATGGTGTTCTTAAACATCCAGCTAACTCTAATGCATGGGAATCTTTTGATTTTTCTCACTCATTATTCTCTAAAGATTCTCAAAATGTTAAACTTTGACTAGTTACAAGTGGAGTTAACCATTTCAACAACATGAGTGTCTTGCATAATACTTAGCAACGGTTGTTTTTGTCTACAGCTTACCTCCCTAGATATGTATGAAACAACCTTTCTGCATATTATCTTTGTTGATATCTAGTCCAAAAGCACTTGAAAATGATATTGACATACAGTGGTGGAACCAAGATTTCTACTTGGGTAGGGCCTTCCTGTCTTACCTCCACTTAATATACCATAGTTATATATAATGAATAAAGTAGATAAAAAAATTAAAACACAAAAGACCAAATTGTAACACAAATGGAAGAGCAAGGACTAGACAAAAAAAAAATTACAAATCCAATTAAAGAATTAATGTTGGCTATTATATTTTAGTAGATTAAAATATCAAAAATGTTATAGTTACAATGTCACATGATATTATAAATTTATAATATTATATATCATTATATAATTAACTCTTTTTATTTAAGAGTTAACCTATAATATTATATGTATATACTTATTTAATGCCATGTCATGATTAGCATTGTAACTATAATATATTCTTTTAAAATATATGAATTCTTCTTTCTTCTTTGATGACACCCAAACCTAATCAAACCCTCAATCCTCCTTTAATTTTCTTCTATTGTAGTGAATTAAGAAGGATTTGTGTAGATTCTCTTCTAAAAGGTTTGTGAGGGTCTAGTTGGATGGTGTATTGGTAGCTAATTTGGATAAATTATGGGATAATATTGAGAAATTTGTATTGGCTACTACTTAGTTTTTAAGGGATCTAATTGAGAGGATCTAAAATAAAATTTTAACTTTTTAAAAATGAATTTCATTGATTGTAAGAGTTCAAGTCACTTGAACAAACCTATGGAAGTGGAGGTATCTAGAAACAAAGAGAAAAAAAAAAATAAAAGTGGAAAAGAAAGAAGTTGTAACCATGAGAAATTATGAATCAAAGCATTTGTATTTGTTTGCTACAAGGAGAAATAAATTTTGCAATAACATTTTTCAAGGTATTAAATCTATTCTTCTCTTATATTTTAATTATTCAAGGTACAGGTTACATATTTATTTTTCTAATTTTCTTTTCACTTCAATATTTTATATTTCTTTTGGTGTTTTTGTCGTCTTAGTTCTTTAAAATCCTAAATATTTTATTTTCCTTCAAATTCATCCAACTACAAAGTAGGGTCTAGACAATTAAGTCCTTTACTTTCTTCAAATTTTTTTGCCCAGGGTAAGGCCCATGCATAACCGTAGGCCAACGTGCTTCCGCCGCTGTTGACATATATTTATAGCTTTTGCTAAAATAGTTGAGAGAGTTATGGTTTGATAGGGTTGAGACATGATGCTTCAAAAAGGGAAAATTTTTAAATGCATGTTGCACTTCTATAGATCATAAATGACTTCCCTACGAATGTTATTTTGTCGGGATGGAGTATAAAGGCAGCTCTGGCATATGCTTTATGTAACAGGAAGACTACTTATCAATTGAAATATGATCATAAATTTTGCTACCTATGTACTCGTCACTTGTTAGCTTCTAATCATAAATAGTGCAAGAACAAGGAAAATTATGATGGTAAAGTTGAGAAAGAGCTACCTCTTCAATATTATCAAGGGATGATGTCCTAAATTAGTTGCGGAAGTTTCCTATTATTACTTTTTGGTAAAGGCGTTAAAAGAAAGAGAAATTATATTAACAAAAAGAGTTTAAATTGGAGAAAGAGAAGCATTTTCTTTAAGTTGCCTTATTGGAGGGAGGGAAAATTTGTCAGCCATAATCTTGATGTCATGCGCATAGAGAAAAATATTTTTAATAACATTATTGGCACTGTATTAGATATTGAAGGCGAAACAAAGAACAGTTTGAAAACTAGTCTAGATTTGCAGGAGATGATGGACAGTGGTCTTACCCAGTTGCATGTTACAATTTATCACCAAATGACAAAATATGTCAATTTTTTAAGGAAATCAAGGTCCCAAATGGGTACTCTTCTAACATCACACAATATGTGAGCTTGAAAGACTTTATGATTTTAAAGTAAAAAGTCACGATTCAAATATTCTCGTAGAGTTATTTTTTCCACTTGTTATTCGGGACATTTTTCCCACAGAAGTTTATGAAACTATCATTGAGTTAAGTATATTTTTTTAGAGAGTTATGTTCAAAAGTGCGAACAACAAATCAACTAGAATACTTGGAATCTCAAGTTCTAATAACCTTATCCAAGTTGGAGAGAGGATCTTTCCCCATCATTTTTTACTGTTATGGTACAATTATCAATTCACCATATATCCAAGGCCAAGCTTAGGGTGCCTGTACAATTTTGATGGATGTACACTGTGAAGAGGTCATGTTTTTTTATTTTAACTATTTTAGTTAAAATATGTTCTTTAGTTTTTATTGTATATTAGAAACACTGTAATAGAATTAGCAGGGGCTTGGAAATTGCTAGATGCTCCAAATAGTTCTTCCAGGTTTCCAGATCTTAGAAGATAAAAAATTGAGTATTTTAGGGCGATTACAGTGTCCACAATATTCAATTTTATAGAAATTTAGGTCAATTAAAGTTTAACAGAGGAAGTAATACGGATTCCTTAGTGAGGTAATTTGACTTTAGTTTGAGTATATAGTTTGTAGTTGATCAGACATATCAAGATAAAGGGAAAAACCCAATTGTATAGAAGTTTTGATAACAACTTGCTAATGAGTTCTGATCCTACCAACACAACATCATAGGAAATTTTAACAAATAAATAGGAGTTGGCAATAGAAGTTTTCTCCATTTAGAGAAGGCAACTAGTACATATTAAAGTGTAGTGTGGGTTGGGGGAGGGGATCCCTTGGAGCTCTAACATGCAATCCACTAGAGGTGGTCTCCACTAACTAGTGGCCTTAACTGCGAGGCTGCAGCGTGGGATCGTGATAGAAGTTTCTATGATGCTTGTTTTAGGAGTCATGACTTGTGAGTATAACAACATTACAAGATCTATATATTGCTGCATATCAGCATGTCTTTCCTACTTTAGGCTCTGTTGAATGTCTTTGGTACAGAAGAAGTCCACCAGATTTGAAGTCAGTTCAGCTCAAAACCAAAGAACAGGTCAGATAAAGAAATAATCAATTGAAAATGTCCCACAGTCCATCAAAGATCCTTAAGGCTCTCAATTCACCACTCCTCATGTCCCTCAATCTCCTTCTCAGTATCTGAAACCAGCCACAAAAGCATATAGAGAAGCAAAGGCATTACAGGGAGCATACATTAATAATTTTGCTTAGGCAGATGTAGTGTTCTTTCTATATGGATGCGTGTTACTTATGTTGATCGGGAATGGCATAAATTTTGTATTGAAATCCTAATGTTTGGAATTACTGTACTGGTTAGAGAAACAAAAGACTTCAATTCACAAGCTACTTGAAATTGAGAATGGACATGAAACCGTCTGTGAATAAGCTGTGGCTTAATGTCTCTAAGGCAGTTAGTATCTAAACTGAGCTCCAGTCGAAGCAATTTAAACAAAAGGTTCTGAGTGATTGGTAATAAAATTTGCTTCACGCATAACATGCCTAAAGTTAAAATAAAATAAAAAGGAAACAAAGAAGGAAACAAATAAAAAAAAAAAACCTGAATTCTTACATATTGGGCACGGAATAGTATTCTCTGCTCACTTGTACATAGATCTACTGCTAACTGTTTCAGAAACAATCTTCGATTGAGTTGCTTTGGAGATGTAACATCTAAATCCATGGATCCACTCGCCTACAAGAAAACAAATGGAAAGATGTTACAAACTGATAAATTGAAGGTTTTATTTTAGTTTGATGCTATCATCAAGACATTTTTATTACTATGGAAATCTTTTCAGATGAAATACAAACTTGCAGGTCCTGAAACAAAATGGCTCTCTCACCTGCAAAAATTTTGAGTACTTTGCTATACTAGCTTCACAACTATCCAAAATGAACTGCAATGCTCGTTCCTCAATTTCAGGGTATCTTATACCCTTCTTGGTGGAAGTCTTATTTGATGCTGCAGCAGCCATCTGGAGTAGATATCTGTGAGATTCAATATAATATGAAAAATTGGTTCCATAGAAGGGGATGTAAAATTTTCAAACCTGTTCAAACTGTCCACTCATGCTTGGAGGACTGACTGCCAAGTAAGCATATGCCATTAATTCTAACGGCCAACCAGTGATTTGTAAAGGAAAACACTCAGATCTGCTTGAAAGATTTATGCACCGGTGATCGGAAAATAGCAGATTAAAGGGAAGCACAGTTCATAATTAGGTCTGAGAGTTTAACATCTTTGGGAAGTAAAAATAAGGTTACCAAAGATGATTTTAAAAAGGGTTAAAACACAGTGTGTAGTCATACAGCCTTACACTGAAAATCCATGCTTGCTCAAAGCTTCCAACTTCTCCTTGTAACATTTGTCAGTTTTTTTAAGTGATAATGGTAACTCTACTGAATCACTAGGATTAGTGCCCTCATTTGGAACGAAACCATAAGATAACAACAGCTCTCCATTAGATTTCTTTCCATATGATATAAAAACCTGCACAAAACAATGCAAGCCATCACTTAGAAATTCAAACTTTGCTAATTGACATCATATTATTGGTCTAAACTGAGGCTGTTTATGCCTATAACAGATTAGCAATGGTGACTGATGCTTCCTTGATCAATTTAGAAAACATATTTTATTCCCTTTCTTGTGGCTATTTAAAAAAAAAAAAATGAAAGAAAAAGGTGAGAGCAATAATAAGCATTTAGCATTGATTTCACACCTCCTTGGATAGATCTTGAGGTCTGCTATCTCTCAAGTCCACATTTAAATAATTACAAATGATATCCTGTAAAATATATGGAGTTCTTGTACTTCTTTTCCTAACTAAATAGATGGTTTTTTTAATGAAAAATTTAAACATAAAAGCATTTAATAGCTTATTTGTTTATGCCTCTACTCCTCTATGATTCTACTAAGAATGGGAAAAAGAAAATGATTACCTGTTCACCTGGCTGATATGCTCGATCTGTTAGAAAGACAACACCCTTTGATGAGCTATCATAATCCAAAAATGTTTCTACCTAAACCAGACAAGACAAGGGAAGGTACTTAGAATCCAATCATATAGTTTATACTAAATATTAAAAAAGAGAGAGAAGCAACTCTATACCTCACAACTATGGTTAAGCATATCTGCCCAAGGAACCAGGGCAACCTTTCCGCCCATTGAAGGTAGCCTCACCTGCATTCGAGATAAAAATATTCAGAATTTCCATTATGTAGACACTAATTTTTTTGTTACCCTCAAACTACACATTTAAATTTAAGAGTCAACAAAAAGGACTTTATTTTGCATGTACGGTGATAGAACTGGGAAGTCAAATCATTAGAAAGTATCAAAGAAGACTTGCACAAATAGCGATTCATTCATCTGTTTAGGTACATTTGGAGTAGAGATATGCAACTCAATTAACTTATTCAATTTAAGAGCTCCAGGCTTCTCTCTTTCGTCTAATATTTCTCTTCACTTGTTTCAAGAATAGATCATGAACAAAGAATCCAACACCTCAAAAATTCAAAACAAGGTTTCCATAAAATCCAAATATGATTTTCAATCCATCAATATAGAAATGAGATTACGTTCTCAAACAGCATTTTTATGTTTAACTTATATTTCATAAAAAAGATTCCAACTTGAAAATTCAAAACAAGGCATACATAAAATTCAAATATGATTTTCAATTCATCAATATAGATGCAGAACAAAACATCTTATATAACATTGTTAAGTAAGTTCAAACTTACCAAGCGTGAGAAAAGAATTCCAAATGACCATCTAAATGTTTCCATGTTGAACACCTGAAGATCATTTGATGTGCAAAGTCAGAAAGGGGTGCACTTATGTCAAGACAGCCATAATCTGCATGCATATTCTTGGAAATTCACATATCCTCCAATCTTATGCTTAACTTCTAATCAAGCATAATAATTTGAAAAATCCAAAAGTTCTTTATGGGTGTACTGCTTTTGCAGCTATCCTCGTCAACTTTGAATTGATAACAAGCAGTGCATGTTTAATGATAGATTTAACTCAAGTATCCCTATTTTATTTTGATCTTTAGAAGTTGAGAATTCAGAGGAAAAGCCACTTTTTGTTAAGAAGTTAATCACAATGATTTTCTATGCACCACTATTGAATCATATGACATGAAAGGTGCATAAAATTCAGGCACCATAGCATACATACTTTACAATGTAGAGGAACAGTTGCACAATATAGAAAAAGTACCTCTTCAGGAAATAGATGAGGATACTTTGAAAATATTCTCAGCCTCAAATCATTATAGCTGGAAGCAAATGAGAAGAAATGATCACCAGTAAACTAAAAATATCACATATAAACCAATTTATCAGCGGGAAACTAGAGTATATAATAAACCAATACAGAAAATGAGACAAAATCAAGCTTAGAGGATAAAAGCTGCTAGAGCTAAACCATACGTTCCTGTAACATTATTGATTCTTTCAATTGCCCGCTCTCTAATCTGTGATGCTTCCAGATACCTATCTAGTTCGGCATGTGTCCTGAAATGATACACAGAGTCTGTAGAGGGAAAACCTGAGAGTACAGCCACGTTGTATATTTTAGTGTTCCACCACGGGATCAAGTAACAAAGAGTAAAATGTTACCAGTACAAAAGTGAATATGGCTGTTGTGGTAGAGCCAATATATAATTGCTCCATCTAGAAGCTTTCTGGAGACTTGCTTCACTAATCAGGTATGTTGCAAGCAATGGCCAATCTGGTACAGAGTAGTGTTTTAGAACCTCACCAGCCTCTGCATTTGTCCATTCCTGGAATCCAAAATCAGGCCAACTTTCAGAGAACCATGAAATCAAACATCAACACTTAACCATAAGCACATAAAAACGTATACATATTTAACTCAAGCCTAACAATTTCCTAAAGGAAAACACTAAACTATTCTTCTTTTAAAAACTTACAGATTCAGCCGTGATGACAAGAGAAGGAGGCACAAAGAGCAGCTTCTCATCCTTCCTGATATTCTTCAAAGCAACCAGTCCTCTTTCCCCCACTTCCACTCTCTCAATGGCCATCTTCTGCGGCGGCAGCCCTGACTCTGACAGCCACTTCTGCAAGGCCTCCGCGTTCTCCAAGGAATCAATATCGCAGCCCCAAGGAATCTTCTGGGTCGTCATCTTTTCACCTTCACTTGTCGAAACTGAGCAGTGAATAGAATTCCTCTTCCGCCATGTTCCCAAGTAAGTCTTGGAGTGGCTTGGTTTGTGGAGTGGAGAGAAAGTGGGAACAAGCGTCGAATGAAAACGGAAGATTCTAGAAACCTCGGCCATATATAGAGAGAAAGGCGGAGTAGAGAGAAGGACCTTATCTGATCCAAAATCAGGAGGAAGAGGAAGAAGAGAATCCTACCTAAAGGCCGAGACTTTTGATTGGATTTTGGCCGTTTTTACAGTTAACTAAGCCGTTTAACGTTAATAAAGCGTGATTTTGGTTTTGGCCATTCAGGGTTCGCACAGTAGATTGAAGATGCTTTTGCATCGGCGGTTGTAAAACTTTTCGTGCTTAGTGTACAGTATTTTTAGGTATACGCAGTTAGTTAATTTTTTTAAAATTATTTTTTAAAAAATTATAAAAAATTATAGTAAATTTACAGTAATTTCATATATAAAATCAAAAATTTAATTTTGAAGCTTTTTAAATTGTGATTTTTATAAAAAAGATCTAATATTTAATATAATTACAAAATTATTAATTAAAACTTAATTTCATATAATTTAATTACATCATAATTTATAATATTTTAATAATTAAAAAAATTTTAAAAACCTAAATTATTAAAAAATAAT